TTCCATCTGAGAGGCAGACCTCAGTGGAAGGGTGGGGACCCAGGTCTCTGAGTCCCTCCTCTGTGCATTCTTGTGGGAAGAGGGGGGTGGGGCCATACTATAATTTGGACCAAATTAAGAAAACTTTACAATTTCAAGGAAGGTCTTCACTTCTCAATATATTCCCCCCCTCTTAGTCACTCTCTTTGGCATGGCTTGGCCTGAAAAAGGGGTGTTGTGGGGAAGGGCCTGGGGTGGGGGGGATGGCAGGAAAAATAAATACTAAAGGGTGGCGATTACATTAAATGTTATGTTCTGGCTTTCTTTCCTCCTTCTTTAGTTACAAGTTTGGGGTACAGGGAAGGGCGGAAATGCCTGGGCAAAATGACCATGCCTAGGAAATATCTGTATATTCAATTTCTGAGAGAATATCCAGTAAGCTCTCTGATGCAGGGAAGAGGTTTGGTGGAGACATTAGCCATCAGAGCAGTAAGGTCATTGCCTGCAGGGTACTCAGGAGCCCACAGGTTCCATCCAGGTGGGAGAGGTGGGGAGCAGAGGGCCAGGAAAGTGAGTCTGGGGCTTCACTGTTCTGGTATGAAAGGGTACAGGTTACTGGAGCTGGAAGCTTCCTGGCCACGGAACCCTTTGAAGCCCCCAAGACCCAGTGGGAGTGGGGTAGGGCAGGCAAGTCCTTCTGTTGTTCTGGCACCCAGAACAAGAGGCCCCCACATTCTCCACTGGGCTGGGTTTTGGGTTACTCTGAACACTGTTGTTCACCCCAGGAAACCTAAATACACGCCCCTGGTGTTGTTGTACCCACCCACACTGCTGGGCCCCACCCAGGGCTCCTCAGACTCCAGCGGTCTACGGTGCAGCAGGACCTGGGATGGAATCCCAGCCCCATCTCTCATCAGCAAGCTGCTTAACCTCTCCGTGTCTCCGGCTCCACATCTGTGAAATGCATATGGCAGCCCCAACCTCTCTTGCTGGTTGTCAGGGGGACTCAGAGATGAATGGGCCTGCTCTGCAGTAAACAGTTCCCTCCCTGTGTGTGTGTCCACGCACACACACAGTGAGGCAAGTGAGGGCAAAAGAGGGAGACTAAATGTTTTTCGGTTTTTAATTGGCCTCACTGACCTAAAGGGCATGCTTTGGGAGGGACAGGCAGTGTGAGTTGGTATCTGGGGTATTTCTGCCATGGTGTGTCCTCATGCAGAGCGATTACTCTGAAGGTACTACCCGTGGTGCCCCGCCTCTCCTACCCCCAGTGATAGTAACGCTTTCAGAGGACTGCTCTGTGGTTGGTGTGGGCAGCCACCCCTGGGTTCTCTCTCAGATGTGCTATGGCTGATTTTGGGCCACCCTGTCCTGTCAGGGGACCTTGTCTGAAGGCCCGAGGGTTGAAAGCCACAGGGGAGGTGCAGATCTGCGAACTATGCTGAGATCCACAGAACTGGACAGCTCTGGCCACCAGGATGGGTTGGGCTCAGATGCCATCATCTCCACAACCTGACTGGCCCTCCATTATCTGGCTTCGCTCACAGCTCAGCCCATGGGTGGGAATTCCACATGGGCAAGCTGGGAAAGGCTTTTGGCAATAAGGCTCCTCTGGTCTAGATAACCCTTCGTCTGAGGACACTTTGATGAAAGGGCTGTGGGGGATGTCTCGGCAGCTTGACCCTGCTCGCCCGAGTCGGAGCCCCTCCCAAGGTCTCTGAGGAAGGTCATGACCATGACAGGCTGAGCTGCAGCACAGAGGAAAGTGAGAGCTCGTGGCCTCCGACCGTGGAGTGGAGTGTGGTCAAAGACATGAGTGGTCAGGGCCAGCTATACAGCAGTGTGTTTGATTCTGTGCCTGTGTTTCCAGAACTCCTTGTGGACATCTCAAAGAATGCGAGAGTGGTGTGCAGTGTTCTGCAAATTGGACTCCTGAAGCCAGGAAGCCAACTAAATCTAGGAAGTGCCTGGGTTATCGTCTCTTGGACCCTCACCATTGACCAAATTGCTGATTTCATTTTTGCTGAGCTTATATGTTAGGCCTTTTTTAACACTCTTTAGCAGTGGCTTTTAAAGTGTAGCCCCCAGATTGTGTCAGCAGCAGCCTGGTGACCCATTACAAATGCAGATTCTCAGGCCCTATCTGTACCCACTAAGTAAGAAGCTGCAGTTGGACCTAGCCCTCCGAATTTGAATAAGCCCTCTAGGTGATGTTAGTTTGAGGACAACTGCGTTAGCCTATGAAGGCTCTGAGAAGTGCTGCAGTAAAGAAACCCATTGAGTCTTGTTCGCTCTAATATCTCCCAAACTTACATGGCCACACGACCTTTCTGTAGTACAACATCCATTAGCTTTCTGAGAAATAAGCCTTGGGAGACAGGAAAGATGGACTTGGGGTCTTTCAGGAGTTGGTTTGAATCCAATAGCCATTCTTGACGTCCCTGGGTGGCTGGGAGCTTTACATTACATGCTGCAGTGCTTAGCACTGCCCTTGGCTCATGGAAATGCCCACTGAATTGTAGCTGCTAGCAACAGCAATAGTGATCGTTAATAGGATGATAAACAGCAATATGTTACCAATATAGTTATAGTATCATCATTTCACGTGCCCCTCTTTTTGCCTACATTTTTTTCCCATACAACTCTGTTTGGATTTGGGATGTTGGACTGAGCTGTACAATTTCCTTCTCACCCTCGGGTTCTTAAGTTGAATGCCCTGACCACTTAGAGTAAAGTTCACTGCCCTCATCAGGGGAGCAAAAATCAGACCTTGTGCCTAATTCTCGGCACTGGTAACAGTCCTGCAGTGCCCTTTTATGAGAAACGAGGGAAACACAGCACCCAGGAAGGCCAGCACCCGTGTTCACGTAATGCGGCCACTGACTGGGGTAAAGCAGAGCAGTGCAGGGTGTGCAGCCCATGTCCACACCTAAACGCAGCATCGCTGGGGACACAGGGTCTATGGCCTGGCAGGCTATCTAGCTGCCTTTATGGGATTTGCTCCCTGGCTTACAGGAGATAAAGAGGGAGTTCAATAAGAGCACCCTACCTCCTTTCTTCCTGAAACGGATAGAAACAAGGGTTTTATAACTCTAGAAAGACTATTGGATCCATGTCCTTCCGCATAGAAACTGGGGTACCTTGGAAAAGTTACCTGCCTATCCTCTCTGAATCTGATTCCTCACCTGTAAAATGGGATTGGTGACATTCTCCCCATCAGGCAACTGTGCAAATTAAACAAAGACCCTGAAAGAGTGAGCATAGCATTTGGCACAGAACAGGTGCTTAATAAAGGTGACCTTGAGATCTCCTAATCCTCCTAGGCAAAATGGGCATCCAAATTGTCCCCATCTTTTTAGGCTTAATTTAGTCTGAACATTCATTTATTCATTCATTTGTTCATTCATTCATGGATCACACACGTGTTGAACACCTACTATCTCTATTGAAGGCCCCTGCTGCAGGTACAGAGATAAAGATTAGATCTCAGCCTCTAGGCGGTGACAGACTCGAGGACAATAATTACGTAATTAGTTACTGAAGTTAGGTTGGGGTTAGGGTAAGGAAGGAGAACGCTGTCTTCCCAAACCAGCCCAGGCCAATCAATATTGGCTTCCTTTGGAGTCCCCACCTTATTTTCTGACTGTGGAATCTGCCATTTACTGTCTCATCTTGTTTAAATGCTTCCTAAGTGTCAGAACTGTTTCCTATAGCTGACTGTAGGCAGGGATGTGGGATCTCGAGCCACCTTTGCCCTGCTTCCCCACTGAACAAAGATAAAATGTGTTCTCAGATCTGCATCTCTCTCTTGGGAAGGGCAACTGGGAAATGTCATGACTTAAAGAAGTCACCTTCCAACTTGGGATTACACAGTATTTATCCTTAAGGACGAGTAGCTATATGAGTGAGGGTGGATAGAAGGCAGAGTTGGGGAAGAGATTTGTTTATAAAACATGATCACTAAATCTAATTTTTTACAAGCCTCCAGGACATACACTCTTCCTGAGGAATGGGTCTTATCAACATCATTGCCAAATTTGTGGTAGAGAAAATAAATTTTGTTCTTTTGCCTTAGAGGTCTCAGATGAACATGGTTTATTGGATGGTAATCCCAAGTAAATGTGCCAGCAACACGGGGGGTTGTAGATGCTGGACTTGAGTTTGAGATAACAAGTCCGAGTCACTACAGTAGGGAATAAAGAGGTCGGTTCTTTCTGGATGGGTGGACAGCACTGTTTGGGCTACCATTCCCCTGGGACATCTGGCTTAGACAGGTACTGTATTTTTGGACTATAAGATGCACCCCCCAATTCAGGAGGAAAATGGGGGTGCATCTTATAGTCTGAATGTAGCTTACCTGGCTCGCTGTGGTGGGGGGGGTGGAGTGGGGTCACAGGTTATTAAATATTTTACCACATTTTTTGCTTCAAAATTTTTTTTCCTATTTTTCTTCTCTAAAACCTAGGGGCATCTTATGGTCTGGTGCATCTTATTGTCCTAAATATATGGTAACTGCCAGTCTGTTTCCAGCAAGTCAGGTAATTTGCTTGAGGGCCCAGTGTCCTTTTATCTCCAAATGTCAAACGGAAGCGTGAAACCACCTGACTGATGAAGGGATCAGGGTACAAAAGGCAGAAGCGAGCGGGCAGCTATGACACTTAGCAAACATCAGCCCCAGTGACACCAGTTTCAAACTCATCCTTTCACTTCCTGGGGGACAGAATAAGGCAAAGCCATCCCTGAGGTTTCACCCTCAGACCCGGGCTCCTCCTCTGTTCTTAAATAGCCTCCAGTGGCTCAGCACTATGGCACGTCACCTGCCCTCCCACTAGAGGAAATTTTCAGGAGCACAGCTCAGATACCATGGTACCTCCCACGGAAAGCCTGCCACAGCTCCCTTGGAGCTAGAAATCTTAGAGCTTCTGGAGGCATGAGTGTATGAAGGAGTGCATGAATGAGGGGAAGAAGCCTGCCCTGGCTGGGGTGGCTGCAGCAGCCCCGGATGCCTGGGAGAGACTTACGTATTCTTTGGTGGGATCGCCAATGTTGCCATTGGTGGTTGGAGCAGCAGGCTCTGCACCCTCTGGCTTTTCCTGCTGCTTGCCCTCTTCCTTGGGCAAGCCACCCTGCCCAGGGAGGGCCACTTCTCCCACGCCGAGGGCCTCGCTCTTATATTGCTTGACAAATTCTTCCATTAGTTTCAGCTCATTCTCCAAAAGTCCACGGCAGCGAGCTGGGTCCTGGTCGTAGATTGGGAGCTGATGCATGAGCTGTCGGCGGCGGTAATAGGCGCCCTCGGTGCCGGTCACTGGCTGCCTCTCCTTTGGGATGAGCTCCATGTACTGCAGGCCCTGGGCAGGATGACAGAAACCCACTGTGATTCTCAGGTCCCCAGGCAGAGATCTGAGAACCGGTGAACAATTACCAGCTTCTTCAGGTTTTTGAGGAACCCAAGGATTCCCAGGGAAGGAATGTTGTGAATTTTGGTGATGCCCAAGAGAGCCCTGACTAAGCTTTCACTCTCTCCAAGTTGTAGGCACAGTCATTTTCTGATGAAAATGGTGCAATCTGAGTAGATGTTCATTTTAGATTTGCTGACTTTGTGACATATGTTTTATTTCCTTCAAAAACGGAGTATTTTTACTTCACTTACCTCATGTTAATGTTCCTAATTTAGAAAAGTCAATCTAGCTTAAAAATGCTTTTCTTAGAAAAGTATAATTAAATCATTATGAACATAAGGGTTTTCCTGGTTTATTGATTTAAAATGTGAAAAGACATTGACTAATGGTAGAACCAACAAGGTCTCACGTCAATAACATTTCAACATGGATGTGAATGGTAACCTCGTGAATATTAACATGTTCAGAATTGCTGTCCAATTTGGCCTTAAAAAACCCAGAAATCTTTTTAAAAATCCTCACCTAAGGATCTATTTATTGATTTCAGAGAGAGAGGAAGAGGGAGGGAGGGAAGGGGGTGAAGAGAGAGAAGGAGAGAGAGAAACATGGATGTGAGAGAGAAACACTGATTGGTTGCTTCCCATACACACCCCTCCTGGGGATCAAACCCACAACCTAGGTATGTGCCCTAACTGGTGATTGAACCTGCAACCTTTTGGTGCATGGGACAATACTCCAGCCAGCTGAGCCACCTGACTAGGGCTGGACAGTAATCTTTTACTTGGGTGGGTCCCAGGGATGGGGAGACAGGGAGAGATAAAGGTAAAGGCCAAAACATCCTGGGAAACTATGAAAGGCAAAGTATCCTTGATAAAGATTCTCCATTTCTGTGCCTGACCTTGACCATGACCTTGACATACCCACCAGGTTGCCTGATTCCCATTGCCCAAGTGGCTGCTGCCCTATTTACTCTTTTAGAGCTCGCCTGCCTCATATTGCATCATTGGGGCTGGACTCATCTTGGAATTGTGTGAATCAGCCTGGAAATTTATACTGCAATGTATAATGAAGAGTCCAGTTGTTTTCTGCTTTTAGGGGGCAGGGGTGAGGAACCTGGGCAGGGGGTACTAGCCCAGAGCCTGGTATTTGCCAAGTTTCATCATAAAAGAATTATGGATAAGAGTGTTTTTAGATAAGGAAGAGGAGGTGACCTGGGTTCCTGTGAGACTCATCAATGGAAGGGTGGCTATGGATGTCCCTTTGGTGGCTCTGTCCTAGATTCTGGGGGCACCTGCTTGAGATGCCCCCTGGCACTGCAAACTCACAGAATACCCTGCTAATCCCTGTTCACTGGCACAGTCCCTAACACTTTTCAAGGTGCTTTCCCATATTCAGAAGATGGCCTAGAATTTCTCAACAGAGTCCTGGAGTATTAAGAAATTTGGGTTTCTAGTTCCAGTCCTGCAGCTGCTCTCTGTAGAAGACAGACAAAGTGCCCAACCCCTCTGGGCCTCAGTTTCCTCATCTGCAAAGTTCAGGATAGGCTGCGTGATTGTCATGGTCTTGATGATCGTGAGAAGCCTGTGGTGGCCTCACTTGATCCTCACCACAACTGAGAGAGATGAGCAGTAGCATTAACCTAGGTTTACAGCCTGTGAAGGGGACCAAGAAGGTGATGGTTTCTTGTTGCCCAAAGAGGCCAAGATCCTTCACACAACACTGGGAGGAACAAGAATCTGACTACTTGTCTAGGAAGGGCTTATCTCTGAACCTGTCTTGGGAAGACCAAGATGACCTATCATTTTTCTTTTGATCAGTAAGACATTGCAGGTGGCTTCCAGTACAAACATGCCAGACAGTCAGGTCTGAGAAACCCAGTCTCCACTGTTATGCTGCATCATTGGGAGACCTTGTACAAAACTTCCTGAGTCCACCAAAGACTCTGAGTTAGGAGTCTGGAGGGTGTGGAAGTAAGCCCTATGATAGGTCCTCCTGGGTGTGTCTGAAGCAGGGCATCTGGGGGGCAGGGACTTTCTGGGGACAGTGGGTTGGGCAGTAGATTCAACCATCCAGAGGATACGGGAAGCAGCAGTCCCACAACCAACAGGCTGGAGCAGGGCTCAGGACCTTGGGGGGTGGTTAGGGGAGAGTCCCTAGGGGCAGACACCCACAGCAGATCTTCCCATTTCTTGCCTGGGGCTGCCCTGCTCCCAGGATCTAAGAAAGAATTTTGGAGTAGTGGAATGGGGCCTTTGCTCACCCTGCCAGAATGTGTTGGAGCCGTCTCAGTCACATGGATGATTCAGCTCATGGGAGTCACCTCTTCAATGAGGGCCATCCACTCCCTAAGGTTGAGTGGCATAGGAATGATAGGATAGCTCACATGTGGTAATTACAATGTTCCAGGCACTCTTCTAGATACTTTACATACGTGAACACATTTAATTCTGATAATACCCCTGGGAGGAAGGTACTTGTATTACCTCTTTGGAAACCAAAGCACAGAGAGGTTAAGTCACTTCCCAGGGTCACACAGCTAGTATGTCATAGAGACAGCTTTGAACTCAGCAGCTTGAGTCCCAACCCCTTTCATTCTGCCTCTCTATAAGATGGATGACTTGCAAAGAGAAAAAAATGTCCCCTCTTCACTGGGGGAGTTTTCCTTTGTCATCAAGTCAAGGTGGGTAGACTGGGTACATGTCGTACCCATGTCTGGTGCCAGGACTCACCAGTCCTGGGGTATATCTGTGGCTCTGGCCTTAAAGGTCCTGCACCTCTTCCTGCTCACCTTTACAATTAAACTCTGTGGTACAAGCCCTGGAGCAGTGGCCTCACCAGCCAGTCTCTTACTGATCCCTGCATTCAGTGTTCTTTCCTGGCTCTGTCCTGGCTGTGGGTGTGTGTGGCCTGAAGAGTGCATGTGTTCCTGGCTGGGGCCATGGAGGCAGGCAGTTTTCTTCCCAGGGACCCAGTGTTCTTGCTGCAGCTCTGAGCCCCAGCTGGGTACTATCTCTCTGCCTTTGCAATGTCAAGGCCACCACATCCAGCTGCCACATGTGTGTTTCGTGATGCCTGCCTGGTTGGCCTGAGACTCCTGCCTGTGTGTCCTAGTCACATAGCCAGAACAGATATTACTAATCACCCTGATGAGGGTCTCAGAATCCACCTCATCACAGCCCTTCAGGCAATCAGTGTGGACTGCACAGACCTGGGAAGGAGATGAGGGAGAGAGAGGGTTGGGTCTGAGTCAGCTGCCTGTGCCACTCAGAGCCTATAAGAGGATGTCCAGGCATCCAGGAAGCTGACTAAGGTCATGTTTCAAAAGCCTTTAGCAAGATACCTTTTCTCAGCCCAGCTGGAAAGATAGGCTTAGGTTTTAAGTTTTTCATGAGGATCTTTCTGAGTCATTTGGTGCTCTGCTATCTGGCTGGGACATCTTGGGTGAAGATGTTCTTGGAATCAGGCTTTATAAGGAGAGAAATAAAAAATGCCGACAGAAAAGTGGAAGGCAAAGGAGCTCTGTTCTTAAGGTTGGGCAGTGGAACACGCATGGCCTCTGGAATTAGGAGAACCAATTCGGATCCTGCTCTTCCTGATTCTTCTCCAGCTCCCAGACAAGGACAGAAATGGGCTTCATGTTGCATGTCAATCCTGGCTGACAGTGGCTACCTGGAGTGCTGTGTTGAGGATTCTGAGGCTCAATGAGGGGTCAGTGGGAGGCAGTGCTCTGACTCATTACCAATGTTTGCCGGAGTGTGCAGGAGTGTGGAGGGTCAGGTATGAGTGAGTGCTTCCTCTGCATAGGTTCCTCACAAGCCTCTGTTTCCTCTCCAGTAAAATGGGACAGTAATGGACCTACACACAGGGAGTCGTGAGGTATTGACATCATATCCAAAATGCTCAATGGATGCTGGTTCCCTTCATCTTCTCCATCTTGCCTCCCCCCAAATCCTGTCTAGCTTTCAAAGATCTATTCAAGCCCCCTGCCACCCCATTCTTGGAAGCCTTTCCTAGAAATGCTAACCCAAGATATGTGCTTCCCTTTCCACCTGCCCAGTTCGCCTGGCCTGGCCTAGAAGGGAACAGCCCAAACAAGTTTGGAGTCAGGGAGACCTGACCTCAAGACCTCTCTCTGCCATTTAAGTCAGCTGTGGGACATCTGGCTAGCAGTGCCACCTCTCTGAGTCTCAGTTTCCCCTTCTGTAGATGAGGGTAAAGAGTACATGCCTAACAGTATTGGAAATTTAGGTGAGATTGTACATGGATGGCTCTTAGCATAGTGCCTAGCACATAGTAAGTACTCAATAAATGTTAGCAATTAGGTTTACTGTAATCAGTTTGTAAAGGCTTAAGAATTTCTCTGGCTTTCATAGTTGGAAAGCATTACGGATAGCAAGATTCAGTCCAATTTCCAAAATATAATCAGTCCCGATCACTTGGGAACTAAATAAAAAAGTTGGGAAGGGAGAGTTGTCCAGTCTCAAAAATGTGACTTGTTTGGCAGGCCAGATGCAGGGTAGACAGAATGGCTTTTATACTGTGCGTTTTATAAGGCACCGTATATCATGGCCTGATGATGCCATCCTCTGATTAGTTTGGGGCCCAAGCACTTGGGGTTTTCACCAGTCAAATCCTGACACCCACAGCTGGCTCTTTTATGAGCTGCATGCTTTAGTTTCCATTGACATCTCAGAGACCCACTTGATGGCTTACTCAGATCTGCCTTCGGAACCAGCCAGCATGTTTCAGCCCTGCTGGCAAAGGCCAATGAACCATTCTGAGTTTCCTTACATGCACAAAAATCCCTGCCTCATAGGGTAGCTGAGCTCACAAATGCTGGAGTGCTCTTCTAAAACATGCTTTTTAAAAAGTACAGCTTTAAAAAATAAATCTTTGCCTCTGTTTTATCTATCACTTTATCTAGAAGGGATTTCCTCCCTTTTATACTCTAGATTAGAGCCATGCTGCTCCAACTCTCTATAGTGAAGGATCAAGTTTATTTGGTTAGTTTTCCCACCTAGCACAGGGTGAGTTTGAGCTCCTTGCACGTGATGAGAAGGTAGCATAGGACACGTGAGACTTTCATGTACATCTGACCACAGGGAATGAGAGTTCTCTGATCACATGCTTGGATGTCAATTGCTAAAAACATTTCCCCACATTTATTCTCGTTTTTGTACTTCTCATTGTGAACCAGTCACAAGGATTTTGAGAAGTGACACCAGTCCACAGACGGCATGTGCAACGTCACTGGCCAGGAGGACAACGCAGCACAAACACTCAAGTTCATCATGTGACCTGCACAGTGCAAGAGGCCAGATAGAACAGTGTACAGGACACTGTGGTGTCTGCCCTCGGGGGCCTTGCTTCACTCATGAGACAATTAGAGTTTGCTTCTAAAAGCTTCTAAAGAAACAATGGAGAACTGAGAGAGAGGAGAGCAGGAGGGTGGGTGGCATCTGCTGTAGTTTGCACAGTTAGAGACCTGTCAGAAAGACACAACCATGCAAGAACAGGAAGGAATATTTCAAGTAAGGGAACAGCAAGTACAATGTCCCTAAGGAGGTTGAGGGCTTAGTGTGTTCCAAGCGGGAAGGAGGAAGGCCGGTGCAAGGTAGCATAATGAGTGACAGGGGTGGAGGAGGAGCTGTGGGAGGAGCCCCTGATGATGGAACCAAGCAGGGCCCCAAAAGTTCTCCTGTTCTCCCAGGAGAGATTTAACTGAATGTAATGTCAGGCTTGCATCACTAAAACTGTAGGATCTCTTTTAGCTCATTAATTTGTAGAAATCATCCAGGCCCTTGCTACCCCAGGTGTGGCCTAGGGACCAGGAGCATCAGCATCACCTGGGATTTTGTCAGGAGTGCAGAGTATCAGGACCTGCCCAAGCCTACTGGATGCATTTCTGCAAGCTCTCCACTGATTAATATGCTTGTTGAAATCTGAGTGGTGTACTCAGAATTGGACTGGCCACTGGGTCTTGAAGGTGGCCACATGTGGTGTTACCTGGGACATTATTTAACTGCTCACTTCTGGTGATTCTGATCCTGCAATCTGGAACTTCTGATTTAATGGTCTGGGGTGAGCAGCCTGTGCATGGGGACTTTTTATGGATCCCCAGAAGATTCTATATAGTCAGGATGTGACCTTGTGCAGGTCACCTGTTCTCTGTGGGCTTTATCCTTTCTACCCTCCTCAGAGTTTCTCCAACCATTTGTCCAAGCCTTCTCTGTGTATCTCTTCCCAACAGTTGTGAAAAGCTAGTTTGGTTCTCCCTCCTAAGCCCAAGAGACTTCAGCTGCTACACGGAAGCAAGGGCTATTTCTCTGCTCTCCTAGAGGCTTGCAAATGGTACAGGCCAGCCACTTTGAGGGGAAATGAAGATGGCACAGATAAAGACAAGCACCTGGAGGGTTCTGGGTGATAAGCCATCCTCTGTTTAGTAGTGAGGAGCCCTTAGGGAACCATAAGCAGTCCTTAACTAGAATTGGAAGGGCCCTTAGAGTTCAGATGAACAACTCTACCCTTTTTATAGATGAGAAAAGCTGAGGACCACATAGCCTTCACTTCAAGATCGAACTGTGAGGTAGGAACAGAAACAAAACCACAGCCATCCCTACTATTTCTATAACCTTGCCCTCTTTTCATCTTGTCTTTGGAATTCAGGAACCTGTGACATGGCTAACATTTATGAAGGTACGAAAACAACCACTTGGTTGGAGGAAGCTCTCTTACCAGTTTCTGGGTGACTCCGGGGGGAGCCCACTCATAGGTGATGGTGTCAAAGGTGGGATCTTTCCCAGTGGCAATGGGATTAGTCATGATCATACGGTTCCTCTTGTAAATTCGGATGCCATCCCCGCCTTTCACTCGGGCCGTGAGGGTGGAATACTTGGAGTCCATCAGCAAGCGGCCAATTTTCCGATCATCTTCTAGGTCGGAGCTCAGGCAGTGGTCTTCCTGGCTGCATTTGCATGACTTGCATATTTTCCTGAGATGGGGCAGAGATGGGGACAAGTGAGATCAACCTCCAGAAAAGACAGGCAGTCTCCACTGGCAGCATCTGCCCTTTTGAAAGCAGTGCAAAGTCCAACTCCAGTGACTTGGAAAGGTTAGCAGCAGACACATGGTAACATGAGACCAATGGGCCTTTTTGGAGTTGGGACTGCATTTGGGAGGTTCTAGTCTGTCTATCGGTCTGTCTACCAGTAGAGATTGTGGGGTATGACTTTTGCTGGAAGAAAAAAGCAGCACATTTACTCTTCTGGTGGTTGTGGTGGCAAAGGCTGGTTCATTCATTAGAGATGCCTTAAAGCAGGAGTCTTCACGGCCTGAGGGCTGAACCTGGCTTATAAGCTGCTTCCGTAAACAAAGTTTTATTGGAACAAGGCCATGGCCATTCATTTGCATATCTTCTGTGGTTGCTTTGGGGCTCCAATGGCAGACTTGCATAGCTGCACAGAGACAATATGGCCCTCGAAGCCTAAGTAACTACTGTCTGACCCTTTATAAACGAAGTTGTGGACCCCCTGCTTTAAGGAATTTGATATTGTCTCCCAAGATTCCTGAGCCTCACAGCTTTAGCAACTTTTAACTCTTGAGCTCTATTCTGAAGTTAGAATAGAGCTGGAAAATTTCTTCAGGAAATCGGTGGACAGGAGCCAGTGGGAAGAGAAAGAACTTAGAAAACCCCTCAGGCTGAAGAGACTGGTGTTCACTGGCAAGTCTTGGTCATGAGGCTGGGAAAAGGAAAAGCATCCTGGGCAAGCTGTACATTCACTGTAAAGCCTGGGCCTTCTCTCTGACAAAAACAGAAGTGATTGGCTACTTTGTGTCACACTGTTATAGTTTAGGAATCCAGAGTTCTATGTCCTGAAAGCAAAATAATGCCCCTCCCTTTCTGACCTGTCACCACAGGCATGCTGTATCCCAGACGCACCATACATGCCATTTAAGAACTTGTTAAGTCAAGTAACCTCTTTCAAGACCTAATGCAGGGATTGGGCAGCCTCAGAAAGAGAGATGTTCCTATAGTTGCATGAGTACTTCCCAGCCAGACATGCCTAAAGACACCCTCCTTGGCTCTTCAAAACTTGGGAGATTGATGCGTTTAATCATAGATCATAAATATTGACTGTGGGGCTAGAAAGGGCATGGCTTGATGGTTTACATCAGTGGTTCCTGACCAAGGTCAATTCTGTCCCCCAGGGGGATTTGGTGATGTCTGGAGACACATTTGATTGTCACAATGTGGTACTACTGCCTTCTATAGGGTAGAGGCTAGGGATGCTGCTAAATATCCTACAATTCATAGCTCTCTCTTTGCAATGAAGGGTAATCCAGTTCCCAATGTCAAAAGTGCTGAGGTTAAAAAACCCTCGTGTAACATGAAGAGGAGATCCCCTCCCAATCTTCACAGAACTTCCAGTTGGGAGAGCAGGGAGAATCAGGGAGAAACTACAGCATGAAGTAAAATCAGCTGGGCCGGGTGAGAGCTGCATGTGCTGTGTGGTGGCTCTGCTGGACTGGACCGGTTCTCCAGGATGTTAGTCTGCAGCATGTGGACAAGGGCTCAGTGGTGATGAGTTTGAAAAGCAGTGGGTTACAGAGGGTGAAACACATTTTTTAGTGTGAGGCTGCTTTTTGTCTTTAATGTACTGATGTGCACTATGACCCCAGGTGGGGAAAGAAGGCAGCATTCCCAACATTATTTGAGGAGAAGGTTGCAGTCCAAGTTCCTATTCAATGGGCTGCAATTTGAGAAAAGTTAAAATTGGTGATCTCAAGGACGATTCTAGCACCTAAAGGTGATGCAGGATGAAAACGAGGTCTTTTTGTTCTCATAAAAAGGGGTTGCTTGTTTTGTGGAATTGGGGCATTTTAATTATGATCAGTAATATTTCCTCGCCTCTCCTTTTTATGAGGCAGGAAGGAGACTGCTTCTCCAAGAGGACAGATGATAGCACCATTGGTTTAATGTGGGTAGTGACCACAGAAAGTGGAAGGAGGAGGAAGGAAGTGAAGGAAATTCTGGTCTCTCTCGGGTCCTCTGACTTCCCCAATACCTCCTGCATGTGAAACTGGGTGAGGAAGCTGCCTTTTGCTTTCCTGGTTAACGGAGACTCTCAGGATGCTAACAGAGATGTTGGGAATGTAAACACTTTGAAAAGGAAAATATTGACAAATATGAGATACTCTTTGGGATTGTGTCCATGTTATTTCTCCTTTATTCATGTTTTTCATGTTGCCAGGCACATGGCTGGGACTTTATAGAAGTCCGTCGCACTCTTTCCAGGTACCACGACTGTAGTGGACACAGAGGTACAGGGTCTTAGTGGTGTTTAAAATGGCCATTTCTGCAATCTGTCATAGGCAACCTTTAATTGTGCAAAAGGCACAGCCTTGGAATCTGGTCCCAGCCTACATGTTAGCTCACCATAGGTCCATGGTCAAGGTTCTTATCTATCAAATGAGAGGGTTGGTATACATCAGTGATGTCAAACCATGGCTAATAGGCCGAATCCAATTTTTGTATGGCCCATGAACTAAGAATAGTTTTCATGTTTTTAAATGGGTAAAAAATTTTTGAATATCGTGCCCTTAAATAAATTAATGCTTTCATGCTACAAGGACCAAGGTGAACAGGTGTGACAGAGACCTTGTGACCTGCAAAACCTGAAACGATTCCTATCTGGCTCTTTGCAGACAGTTTGCTGACCTCTGGTCTAGTTGATGAGGTTTCAAACTTTGCTGGGTATCCAGATCACCTGCGGAGCGGGGTAAACTTGGACATACCTTGCCCCGGCCCCCACTAGTCAGACTCGTGGGTCTGCAGTGGGAGTCAGACACAGGCAATTTGTGATCCTGTTCCCGAGGTGATTCCATGACACAAAAGCACCCGAGTTACTACTCCTCCCTGTCAGGAAGTTAAGCAGCTCAGGTTGACTTTCTCTAGATTGTCCCTTGAAAAGCCCAGGAAGCCCAGCTATCATGTGACTGCAGCATTATTGATGCAGATCCCCTGCCCTGGTGAGAAGAGGCAGAATTAACACTACGGATCCCAGGGCAGCTGCTGACACTGGCCTGGAGAGAGCACCTTGTGAGAAGGGGTGCTGTCATGAGCAGTTTGGGGGAGTCCACCAACAGCAACTCCCTGAAGAATGCAAAAGTTTGTGATTTGAAGAGACACTGGTCTCACTTCCATTTTTCATAGTACATCCCCTGTTTCCCTTAAATCAGTTTTCCCCCTCTATCCACTGAAGTCAGTGTATATTGAAAAAAGTACAGCTAATTAGAATAATAACAATATAAAAAATCTATGTGTGTTGGGAAGAGAGCTTGGGCTCTCTCTGAAACACCTAGAGTCCTGGAGGTGTGTTTTCCTCCTCCTTGAAGGGAAATACAGCATCCTGTGAAGTTTGCTAGGTGGGCAAGGAGCCCAGCATGGCTATTGGGAGTGCAGGATGCTAAAGGCTGGTGGGGAAGCTCCTCCCTGTTTTCATGATATGTTTGTCCTGAAAGTCTGCTTTTGTACCCTCCTGTCTATGTAATGCTACTCTTCTGGGCTTCTGATACTAATTCCATTCTAATTCTACTAACCATGTGAATCACTCATTTGATTGTAAATAGTTTGTCTGAAACTATGGAATTGTAAAGCCAGAAGGGGACCCCAGAGCACATCAGCTCCAAAGCCCCTATTTCTCAAGTGGGAAGCCTGAGGCTTAGGGAAGGGAAGTGTCTTCTTCAGGCAGAGCCAGCATGTGAATTCTGTCCTGTGATTATTAGTTAAGGGCCTTTCCCACCAAACCAGGCTGGCTACCACTTTGATCTTCACATATATTTAAAACTATGGAGAGTATGGGAACTGGAGCATAATTGTGGTTTTGACATGGTTTCCCCCCTAAGGGTGGGACCTCACTGCTCCAATTAAGGTCCCTGTTAAGATTGTTTAAACCAAAGATGACACCTGAGATAAAGGAAAGACCTACAGGCTGCAATCTGTCTTTCTCAAGGATAAATTCACTTCATGTTCAAGTCATGAAGAAATGTAGGGATTAAAATAATGCTGAGAGACTCCTGCTTCCAGCTATGAAGGACAGGGTGTTCAGAACTTCCTTCTTCCCATAAATATCTAGAAAACCAGACAAACTATATTAAATGATTATTTTGAGATGTCAGACAACAGGAAGCACTGGGGTGTGATCCTTGTGATAAGAAAAATGTTACTGAATGGATTCTGTGTGCATTCAGGGAACATTAGCTCCCTGCCCAGGAACTCTGAAAGGAGGCCTCCAAGGCTGTCTTAAGAATCCTAAGCTGATGATTCTAAACACTGTTCTATGACACCCTGACAGCAGATTCAGGACCAATGGAGTGACATGATAGGGAAGGTAACTTTCCTCTAGGGCAGAAAGAGCTCAAGTGGCCAAAATAGATGCATAGAAGGAGGTTCCCCTTCCTGGAAGTGTTTTAGCCAAATTGCTGGGAGGAATTTGTGCCGGGGACAGGAATCAGGATTGGATGACGTTGAAGGTCTTGAATTAGATGACCTTGAATGAAGGTCAGGGAATGGGGTCAAAGATGGTCTTGTGCTTTGAAAACTCATGGTGCACTGTACTGCAGAATGGTTGAGAGTACACCATGGGGTTTTCCACAGACCTGAGTTTGAATCCTGTCATGCAGTAGCCATCTCCCCCTTATCCACCCTCAGTTTCCTGATCTGCAAAATGGAGATACTAATATCTATTAATTGGGGTTATCTCAACATTTAAATGCAAAAGATTAAGTTCAGTTCAATAAATATTTTTATAATTGCCTTCTTACAGTGGAAGCCAACATCTCTGAGACAAAAGCCTCCCAAATTTTGTTCCCCCACTGAGTGCCCAAGGCAATGTTCTGGCAGTGGAGATAAAAGCTCCTTCTTTGCTGTGGCGCCCTACAAAGTCTCACAGGACTGCAGGGACAGTCACGCATGCTGCACCCTGCACAACTTCTGGGGGTGCCATCCACACAGATGCTGATGTGAACAGTACTGCGACTGTGCAGTGTGGCAGGCCTACCTCTAGTTTTCAGTCTTCAGTGAAAAAAAGAAAAGTCCAGCTGGCTCTTATGGTCCTCCCGTGTGGATGTGAATACCACGTTTTGGTTTCTAAGTGTGTAGACACCTTGACTTTTATTTCTGTCCCAGGGGCACTCTCAGATCAGAACACACTAAGAGGGATGATGGTACAGTGGGAGGAGATCAGCCCCATGCACCAAACCCCAGGACAGACAGCTCTACCCAGAGTGGACCATGTGCCAGCTAATACTGTTCACACCTTCCCAGCGCAGTCCTTGCTGGGCTGAACCTTCACCTCGAAACAGTTAATGGAGTGTGAAGCTCCTTCTTCATCTTGGAGTCCCCAGGGCTTTTCTGTCATTGCCGGGTTAGGCCAAGTGGGAGTGCACTCGCTCCAGAGCCACTCCTCTCCAAAATGTGCATCCTAAGCAGTCCCAGCAGAGAATGACCAGGGTTCTCTGAAAGGACAGCCAAGAAGTGAAGGCAGGCAGAGCCTTCCTGACAAACTCAGTTACCTCCACGAATGTGGCTCGAAGCCTGAACACGTCCCCTTGCATCTCAAACAAGGCACACCTCTTGCTGACTGCTGCTGGCCCAGGGACATCTGGAAAAGAAGCAGAAAAGAGGGTGTTTTCCTTCTAAACATCTTGGACCAGGGATGCTTGACCTCTGAAAGAGTTGGCATGCCAGCAAAGGGATTGTGTGGGGTTCAAAGTGCTTGAGATGAGTAAGCCATCACTAACTGTTTACCAGGAACACTTACTGTTTACCACCACTTACTGTTTGCCAGATGACCAGCTGGGAAAGTGGCCATAGGGCAGGCACGTGTGGAAGGGTGGGGCACTTCCCAATAGAAATGCAGTGGGGGCTCATTCACAACCGACAGTGCTGTCACTAGTTACCATGGCTGCTGTGAGGGACCATCTGCTCCTTCCTCTACCCTTCCCCACTCCTCGGATTCCCTTGTCACTGAAATGGAATCTTCCAGCAAATGTCCCCTCTCCCTCATTTATTTGTAATTTATTGATAGTGTGTGATTAAAGCAAGGCGCAAACCAATGTTTGTGCTGCCAAAAGTTTATAGCCCAAAGCATAACTTAAATATTTTGCTGAAACATAGAAAATCAGGCTGTGCTTTGGAAAGAGAAGGACACATGAATCAGTTCTTAATGTTTGTTACCAGCCAAAGGTAGCAGAAGTGCAATGGCTGCTGCTGCTGATGTGCTTAGACCCTAGTGGCTCTCAGACGAGGCCTTGACACCAGCAGCATCGCTGGAAGCTTGCAGAAGGGCTCAGGCCCCACCCCAGCCCTTTTAAATCAGAATCTGCAATTTAACACAATTTAGTAGAGTTGTATTATATTAGACCTAGAGAAGCAGTGCATTGTCAGTATATGGGTCTGCTGGCTGAGAATCTTGCCTGACTCTCCATTGGGAGTGGGGGTGTGTGTGGATGAGTTGGTACCGGTATGTACATGTACTATGATTTTATCAAAAAGCAAGGTTCCCTCAGCTGGTACAATACAGGGATAAGCTCATCATTCACAAGCTATGGAGCCACTTAACCATTTATTTAGCATCTACTATGTGCCACAAACAGGGGATACATCCCAAGATCAGGTGTGCCCTGGAGGAAGTCATAATCTAGGGGGAGATGGAGAAAGAAAAACATACTTATCACCTGCTGCTGGAAAGGGTAATTTTGAAGACAGTTGCCGAGTATATAGTAGAAACACATGGATTCTGGAGTCTGAGTGACCTGAATTCCAAACCCAGCTTCATGACTTAACAACCACATTGACCTGGACCAAACGAGCCAGGTTTTCTCACCTGTCAGAGGGGTACAGAGATAATGTATGTAAAGTGTCTGATTGCATCAGGCACTACAAATATCAGCTGCTACTATATTATTTCACAGAGACTTCAGGAGCACAGAGTAAGGTGTCAATAAACCTGTACGGTAAATCCAGGGAAGCCTCCTAGAGGAGGTGACTCTGGATCAGGCCAGTGCAAGATGAACTGGCAGAAAAGGAGAAAGGGCTTCCTGGCAGAAGAAAGAAAATGTGCAAGGACAAAAAGGAACAAAAGAGCTTGATGGGTAGCACTACGCACAGTCTAAGCATGCTCTTTGGGGCATGTGAGTGCTCTTGGTTCTAATGCACATCCACAGTTTTGGCAAGTCAGAACCATGTCACACCTATGTGAAGGGAGATACATCCATATCTGTGTCTGTTCAGTATTAGATTTGTGCTAAAACTGGAGAACAAGCAATGCGTACCACCACCCCCTTGTCCTGAGCTGGGAGCGTTCATTCACAGGCAGAACTTGCTCCTTGCAAACACTTGTTCTTGACACCTTGGATTCTGCGAGTTGAAATGCAGCAATCCTTTCAGACTTCATAGTTGAGTGCTTCAAAGGTTACTTTGGGAGGTATACAACTTATGAATAAGGTGCCATCATTAGCTTGTTTTAAATAGACCCAGAGGCAGTGAGGCCTGGAAACAGAAGAGCTATGTGGAAGCATTTCATAAGTGGCCAAGCACCCTGCAAGCTTGAGCATTGTTCTTTAATGAGTGGCTGATTTAACAGTCATCCTTTGAGGGGATTAGTCCTGATGCTTGGCCAGAAGACTTGAGCGGCTGGCTCAGGGTTTGGTTTAGAAACAGTGATGTAAGGCAGCACAGCGAAGCAGAGCACTGGCCTGCAGGGTGGGGGGTTGGCGGGTGGCCCTGCAGTGCCAACTCTGACATTTATTAGCTGTGCAGCTAGAAGCGACTCATTTCCTCGCCCAGCCTAAATTGCTCCTCTGTAAAATAAGAAAACTAGCCAGAATTGGGGCTGCCCAAGTCTCGTTCTGTAGAGTCTTTGTTCTGTGAGATGTTTCAAAGTGGTCGAGGGCCAGGGGCAGGAAGGATTGCACGATCAAATGAAGATGATGAACACCGGATACAAAAAGGCTTCTGGAGCCTTTCAAGTGCCAGCCTGCCCTGGAAGTGAGAAGAGAGGTGGCGAGAGTCTTGATTTTGTGCCTTCCTGCTGCTGGGTGTGGGCGAGTGACTGGACTGGTGGAGTCTCAGTTTCTTGTTTGTGTCGGGGGAGTGATAGGAACCAACCTGCCCCACGCAGTTACTGTGAGGCTGGAATGGGCTGCTGCAGGGAGAGGGTGCTGCCTGTACTGATTTCTTACTGTTCGTCGTTGTCATCACTTCTTGTGCAAACAGTCTGAGAGACCCTGAGTCAGGTGTTCTCAAAAACATTTTTTCCCATAGCTTCAGAGTTTTAGGGAACTTCAGAGGAACCACTTTTCTAACTGCACACCTCCTTAGTTTCATGGACATGTGTGGCCTCTCTGACTAAGTGTAGGAAGCAGAGGGCTGGCCCTAGTCTCCATCCTGCTAGTGGGACAGTTTCCATGGTGACAGAAGTCTGTGGGAGAGAAAAGTAAATGGCCTTTTGAGGAAGAAATAGGTTGGGGCCATCAGACCACACTTGCAGCTGGCTTCCTGGAAGACTGTTAACACAATAAATAGCCATTCGTCCACTGCATACGATTCATCCAGACCCAGTTATCTCCGACACAGAAAATGATCCTGTTTATTGATGAGGGGAAAACATCAACCAGAAATAGTGTTTCAAACAACATATTCCAGTTTATAAACAGTGGGTTTGTCTGATGTGGACTGAGTCTCTGGTAGAAGATGGCACAGTGGCCCGCAGTGGCTCACAGTAGCTAAGAAGAAAAGCACTTAAAAGGGCCTGTCACTTAAACAAATGGGTTCTTGAATGTAGCATCTATTTTGTTCTTTTTCTTGAGGGGAGGATAAAATGTTTTGACAATTTTCTTTGGCTTCGGATAGTAGGATGTGGTTCATTTGATGCTGTGGAACAGCATTGTGTGGGGGGCTGGAAAGGACTTAGACCAGGGGTCCCCTGGGGAGGCCAGGGGCAGGGTCAACAGGGACTCCTCCCTCCTTTGAGCATTCACCTTCAGGTGAACCCCAAGAGAAATCTTAAGGGGGGACAGTGTCACCAAGAACCATGTAGGACTTTGATGAAGAGGAACCAGAAAGGAGAAATGCAATATGGAGTTTAGGGGTGAGCATGGGAGCTAGAATTATTAATGGGGGTTCTCCTCCCAGGTCAGCTTCTCTCTCCTTATCTCAGTTTCCTCCTCTGATAAATTAGTTTTCCTTGCCCTTTTTGTCTCAACAAGGCTGTTGTAAGTATCATGTAAAAGGTTGTTTGTAAAGTGAAATAATTATTTACGATTAGTTGTTAAAAAGTTATCCAGAACTTAGCAATAAGGCAGAAAGATGGGTGAGGATCCTTTCAATGTCATATGGCAGCAATATGACATTCCACCTTATCCCCAAACCCCCAAGGATTATCTAGAAAAATTTACTTTGCTCTACTCCAAGACTTGGTGTTACATTGTAGCTTTTTCTCCAGCAGAGATACAAATACAAATAACTTTTTTCCTTTTGAAAAAGATAACCCCAAAGGCTATGGTTTATTGTCCTACAGGGCATGAACTAGTTATGTACTTAACCCATCAACCTTAACTTTAAATTGACTATAAATACCTAGCTCCTTAAATGGTTTTTGAATTAATCTAAATTTCTCACTGAGTCCTTCTTTAATGAATGAGTGGACTAAAATCTTTGCTAAGTTCTAATTTATATTTGCACGAGAGTCACAATGTTACCTTTTTGAAAATTATATCCTAACATCATCACATGCTCCCCTTCCATCTATGGGCTGGCTTTCTGAGCTGGTGTGTTCTGAACTGACACTCCATTGTATTCCGAGTCTCCTACTCTGACACGTCTTTTACAAGTAAGCTCCATAAGCATATATGTCATTGAAAATTATTGATCAACATGCTGTTACTTAAAAACAAACCCTCCCCTAGGGGTTCCCAGGAGAGAGGGTGGAGATGACTGGGGTGGGGTGAAGTTATGAGAAGGTCCAGAAAAGAACTGAGGTCATATACAGAAAAATGATCCTGAAACTACCCCACTACCATCAACAACCCTCAAATAACAACAGCTTGGCAGTCGACGGAGTGATTTCGTTGAAATATCCTCTTCCTTAACCACTATGACAACCCTGTGAGGTGTCCTCATCACTCCTGGTCAACTGGAGACACCTGCTTGGGTCTGAGAGAGGAGACACAGCTTGTCTGTTCACAATGGCCTAGGCAGGGGCTCCGGGGTGGGGGGAGGCACCTTTTAAATCTACACTTATCTGTACTGGCCTGTAAGCAGAGTGTTTGATCTTTCCTCAGGTTTATGATTGTAGCTCACATTTACTGAGTACACCTTATGTGCCAGGAGAATGCCAAGCATTTGTATGATATGTAACTAGAGCTTCTAGGTGAACCTATGAGAACCTTTTTTTACTGAACTTATTTTCACTAACCTTATTTTCATATGAGGAAAGAGGTCCAGAGAGGTTAAGATCCAATAGCTTGTAAGTGGTAGGGGCAGGAAGTGAAACCAAGTAGGTCTTACTTCAGAGATATGCTCTCATCCAATCTGCTACAGCACTTTCCCCCAAGCACTTTACAGTTTACAAAGTATATTCATATCAACCCTGGGCTGCAG